TTGGTTCTTCATCCTTGCCTTGGATGGATCCTGTGAACAAATCATTTAACTTGGCTAATTCAGTTCCAGCACCTAAGCTAGTGTCAGGTTCAATAAGCATTGGCAATAGCTCCACACTGTTGCGGAGAGTTGTACATGAAGTGGAAGACAGGGAAGCTGATCAAACAGCATATGTGAATAACAAGTTTCAGGACATTGGGTCTGGTACATCTAGAACGGGTTCCCTAACAATGGAAGACAACACAGCTGCAACAGATAGAACTGATTTGTCATCTTTTGCCAGAACATCCATGATTACCGATTCAGGATGGAGGCCTCGTGGGGTTTTGGTTGCTCACCTCCAAGAGCACCGTTCTGCTGTTAATGATATATCCATTTCAGCAGACCACAGCTTTTTTGTTAGTGCATCTGACGATTCTACTGTTAAGGTTTGGGATTCGAAAAAGCTAGAGAAGGATATCTCATTCAGGTCAAGGTTAACTTATTCTTTAGAAGGAAGCCGAGCTTTATGTGTTACAGTGCTCCAAGGTTCTGCTCAAGTTGTTGTTGGAGCATGTGATGGAACAATACATATGTTCTCTGTTGATTATATCTCCCGAGGACTCGGTAATGTTGTCGAGAAGTACTCTGGTATTGCTGATGTGAAGAAGAATGAAGTGGGAGAGGGTGCTATTGCAAGCCTTTTGAACTACTGTTCAGATGTTGGTGCCTCAAAAATGATTTTGTATAGCACTCAGAATTGTGGGCTCCATCTGTTGGACACAAGAACAAGTTCACATGCCTGGAACACCAAAGTTTATCCCAAAGAGGGCTATATATCATCTCTAGTTGCAGGACCTTGTGGAAATTGGTTTGTATCAGGTTCCTCAAGAGGTGTACTTACACTTTGGGATTTGAGGTTTTGCATACCGGTTAACACATGGCAATATTCTCTTGCCTGCCCAATTGAGAGAATGTCTCTTTTTCTTCCTCCTCCTAGTACCTCATTGTCTGTAGCAGCAAGGCCCCTTGTTTATGTTGCAGCAGGTTGTAATGAAGTCTCTCTATGGAATGCAGAGAACGGGAGCTGCCACCAGGTGATGTGTAATTTTTCTTAAGAAAAGAAGCCCTGACTTATTTGCTTTTAGTTCCAAATACTAGTGGGTAACTTTGTTTTTGTGTTGTCAGTCCTTGGGTCTATTTAACTTGATATTTTCCTTTATTTGGTTTATGTGATGTATCCAGTATACATATACTTGGAAGTGACTACTGCGTCTGGGGATTTGAGATCCTTATTAGGGAAGAGTGCAGTGTCTGAATATTTCTCTCTCTCTCTCTCTCTCTCTCTCTCGCTCGCTCTGTGCCTTCCATCTTTCTTTCCTTCTATACTGAAAGTGTTTGGATGATAAAATCCTTCGCAGCACGTTGTAATTTCTTGGTGGTATCTGATAGATGCTTAATAAATTGGAAACTTCATGCTAGAATTGTTTGTCTTGGATGTAACTATTGAATTTAAGATTCATTTACGTTTATGATGGTCTTGTATAAAATATGGATGCTTGACTTGTGTAATCTATCATTTAAGATGAACCATTGTTCTTGGGACATGCTATGAGTTGGTACAAAGTATGTTGTCTACTCTAGTGACTTTTTCCAACTTTGCAATTTTGTATTTTTTTGCTGCAGGTTTTGAGGGTAGCAAACAATGAGAATGAGGCTGAGAACTCCGACTTACCTTGGGCTTTAGTGAAGCCATCAAATAAGGCTAATCCTAAACAAGATCTAAGAAGAAATAATGGTTCAAAGTACCGAGTTGATGAATTGAGTGATCCGCCTCCTCGCCTTTCTGGCATTCGTGCATTGCTTCCATTACCTGGTGGTGATTTGTTAACAGGGGGAACTGACTTAAAAATACGTCGCTGGGACCATTGCAGGTTCTAGATTGTTTCTCTAGCTCTATATTAAATTCACCTAAATTTTTCATATATAACTCAACAAGTCTTGCATATTTCAGCCCGGAACGAAGTTATTGTGTTTGCGGACCATCTATAAAGGGGGTTGTTAATGATGACTTTTATGAGACAAAATCCAGCTTTGGCGTACAAATAGTGCAGGTATGTGAATTATCAAGCAGGATCCACTTCTTCCTTTTACAGTTGTGACGTATAATTTCTGTCTTATGATTGTTGGACTACTAATATATTGCATTTGCTCGTCATTAAAGGAGGCGAAGAGGCGACCTTTGGCTACCAGACAAACAGCAAAGGCAATCCTTGGAGCTGCTGCCGTTGATGCGGCTGGGTGTCACCGTGATTGTATTCTCTCTTTGGCTTCTGTCAAATTAAATCAGAGACTTGTGATATCAGGTAGCAGAGATGGAGCTGTTAAGGTTTGGAAGTAAAGGAACCTTGAGATACTTGTATATATATTATTGTGTACATATTCAGAGTATATGTAGCCTCTTTACTGTTTAAAAATATTAATTGAAATGTACAGAAAATGGCTTCTTTTGTGTTTAGAGATATATGACAGATAGATTTCTGAGTCATTACCACAAATGTATTAATTTCTGGTAGATGCCGCTCTGGATTACTATTAGATTATGTTTTGGTTATAACTTTATATCATTTTTATTATTTGTAAATACAATATGTTTATGGCCATTGTTCATACCTCTGCATTTGTTCTACCTACATGGCTCTATGAGAAATTGCTAATACAATATGTTCAATCTACCAGACAAGTTCTTCAAATGCAAAAAGCTGCTCCTTGTTCTTAGAGGAATTCAAAACTGATAGTGATGTTAGGAAATGCTTTGGTTTGTAAGGGGGTTCCTTTGCCAAAAAATTATACGATATTATATGAGGTTGAAGTACTTCTGTTCTACGTTTAGTAGATATTGAATTTCCTTCGTCTTTCTGGTGTATTGTTCTTATATTTTGGATCTGCTTACTGAAGGTGACTTAATTCTTTTAAATCTTTTGAAAACTAGAACAATAGTAGATGTGGATCTACCTATAGTATAGTATGGGGTGCAAGTGGGTGTTTTTAATCTCCTTCGACTGAAAATTACAAGGTATATACAAGGTTGAAGTTACTTTTGATCAATGTATAGTAGATATAATTGAATTCTCTTGTATTTCTGGTGTATTTATTTTCTTATATTTTGAATTTCCTTACTCAAGGTGACTCAATTCTTTTAAATCTCGCAAAAACTAGATCAATATATAGTAGATGCTGATCTATGTATAATAGGGGACACAAGGGGGCTCATTCGGCTTCCCTTCAGCGGAAAATCATATAGTATATACATGATTGAAGTTATTTTTTATTTATGTGTGTAATAGATGTTGAATTTTCTTTATCTTTTTAGTGTATTTATTTTTTATATTTTTAATCTCTTTATCAAAGACGATTTAATTCTTTTAAAAACTAGATAAATAGATCAATGGCGGGCAAGTCCATTTGCTCTTCTTTCAAAGGATAAGATCAATGACCAATGGCGTGCATACAACATCTACAAATTATTGTATATATATTTTTTTAAATTGTGTTAACTTCACATAAAATAATGATTTTTTTTTTCAAAATTAATAAATAATACAATTCTGTTATCAACTTCCATTATATAAACCATTTAAGTCAACATCGTGTAAGTCGGTAAAGGTCAACAACACAATCATAATTTTCTTTATTTTCTCCATCATTATTTCCTTATCAATCTCAATTCATTACCCTAAAGAGGAATAGAGAATTAATAGTGTAAAACAATTATTAACATAGAATTCTAAACTTTTGGGCACAAAAAGACATCAATATATAGTGGCGATGAATTATTTATGCCCCACCAAAATCAAAGAAACATAAAATAATAGTAGCGTACGCAAAAGTTTGCATAAATAATGTCAGCATATTATCATCACTTGGCTCTTATCTAAACTAATAATAAGATATGATATTGTGGGTATTTTCAAATATTTACTTCTTGTTACAAATAAATATTTACTTTACATTATTTTCAAACAATGTCAGCATATTCTATATGCATATTAAATTTTTAAAAAGAATTATTTACAAATATAGACAGCAAATGTTTTCATCACAATTTATGTGTGCTCAAAGATGTGTGATGCACTTTGATTGAGGTTTAAAAAAAATATAAATATTCTGTCTAGCTATAACTTATTTATGGTCTCGTTCACTAAAATTGAATAAGGATAAAACGAAAGTTTAAAGTTCAATTGTTTTTATATATAAAAATATATCATTTCTTTGAAAAAAAATAAAAAAATATATCATATAACTCGAAGAAGAGAAAATAATTATTATATTGAATGACAAGACATTCGATAGAAAATAGCTAAAAAGTCCATGTCTCACCAGCTTGCAAAATCCTTCCATAGAAAGTGATAATGACTTCTACAAATTAAATAATATCAACATTAAAGGGGAAAAAAAACTCAATAAAATCAAAGGTCAATAACCAATGGTTAGCAATTAATCTACTTATTATATGTTCCTTGTACTAATAAAGGTCCAATACTAGGACTTCTTTATGGATTAGTTAATCTAAGTATTTAGTAATATTATAAACTTGACAATGATCTTATATTTAATTTACACTCAAAACTAGTTGCACAATTTTCATTTACAATTTCAAACAATACAAACAAAACTACGTGGAGTCCTTGGTGTCATACATGGTGTACTATATTTGAATATAGTATCTTTAAAAAGGACCTTCAACTTCCAATCAAATTGAAGATTTATGAAACTAAAATACAAAAAGAGTACAAACACTAAAGGGCCAAGTAGAGACTAAAATAGCAATTACTTTTTCATTTTGTCCAAGAAAAGTAGCACTCACAATAACGGGCAGTCTGGTGCACAAAACATCTTGTGTTAGTAGGGGAGTGTGATGCAAACAGTCTATCATAATGCAAGCATTAGTGACTATTTTCACGACTTGAACATGTGAAAACTTTACCGTTGCTCCAAGACTCCTGGTTCAAAAGTAGCACTCATAATGCACATACAAAATCACCACTTGTGTCAATCTCATCATCTAAATCAGCATCAGTATCAAAATCATCAAGATCCATACTAATGCTGCTATGAACAAAATAATCACTTGCTTTAGACCCCTCTCCTGGTTTTCTTGCTTCTTGAATTATAGCCAATGCTTCTTCAATGCTTTGTAATGGCTTTTCTTCACTATTCATTTGTACTAAACTAGCTTCCTCTCCTTTCATAAATTCTTTAGGCAAGTTCTTTAAGAACCATGGATGCTTCTTTATTTCTTCGATCGTTATCCTCTACAAGCATAATATTAGAAGATTAGCATATTCTAGGATCAATGTGCAAAATCAAAACGATTTAAGAACTAGTAACAACCTTCTCAGGATCAGCAACGAATATCCGAGATAAGAGGTGATTACACTCCTTGGACACTCGGACATAGTAAGGGATCGAGTACTGTACGCTTAATATCCTCTGTCACACAAAAGAAGAATTAGACTAAATAGCTGCCCATCCAACCGCTTAAACTAAAAATAGCCAGCAGATGTATAATATATGTTTTTAGATGTGTATAACCTATGTATACCAGCTAGGAAAAGTAACCAATAAATCAGGCCGGCTATTTGTGTAGAGATCTAGTCAAAGAATGCATATCTTTGAGACAAATTAACAAGCAAATCAAGAAGTCAACTATGGTTTTTAAAGAAATGAAGCAGAAGTTTACAGTTATTGTCTTCTTGAAGTTTCTTGGATCATCAGGATCTTCAAACGGATATGCACCAACCAGCATCACATATAATGTGACCCCACAAGACCAAACATCTGCTATCTTCACATCAAAATAATAACATAAAAATCTTGAAGATTAGGTCAACAAATCAATTTATGAATTGAAGTTGTATGTCAAAGGTCAATTGTCATACCTTTCCATCATATTCTTTTCTTGATAAGACTTCTGGTGCGATATAGGCCGGAGTTCCAACTGTAGATTTTGGTTGTGAATGCAATGCTGCTGACTAAAACAATGAATTAACACAACTCAGAAACTGAATCAAGAAACAAAACCAATCAAAAGATTGAACATATAGTTCTGTTTCATTGCCTTAGAATAGCCAAAATCGCATATTTTCAGACATTGTGTAGAGCTCCCGTCTAACAATGTGTTTTCAAGCTTAAGATCTCTGTGGCAGATTTGCTGCAATTCAAGAAAACGATCACATCACAAGCTAATAATCCAAGAGTAAATTAATGTACTCGAATAAAAACAATTTGAAGCAAACTTATAACATAGGCCTAATTCATACCATTGAATGACAGTAACTCACTCCTGATATAAGTTGTTGAAAGAAAAATCTTGCCTGATGAAAAATAACATCAATTTGGACAGATAAGCTCAACAAATCTAATAAAGTTTCGAGATAATAACTGCTACACGTTGGAATGAGATTGAAAGCAGCCGCTTATCACTTGATTTTCATCAAAAATGAAGTAGTACTAATTTGGTGACTTACTGTTACATGGAGCAATGACAATCACAAAAAAACAAATGAAAATTCTAAAATCTTGATTCTTGTGTTACCTCATCTTCACTGAATCTTCCAGCATTACATATTCGTTCAAAAAGCTCTCCGCCAGAAGCATATTCCATCACTATAGCTAGATGAGCTGGTGTGAGAAATACCTGCACAATCACGAAAACCTGCATAAGCATTCCGGTCTATACATCTCAATCAAATTAGCCAGAGTCTTAAGCCCTCTTAGTAACAGAGAATTACAAAATGAATCATGTACAAAGTCAAGAACCGGGATTTTGACCAATCGACTAGTAAAATTAACCAACTCGCGAATCAAAACATAATCCGATAAAGCATCTTAGGCTTCTTAAAAAGTTGGTACTAAGGAGACTATAAGATCAATGATAATATCAAATATTAAGGCAATTTGGTTAGAAATATCTTTTTCATTACATGATTCCAAATTCCCACTTAGTGGAGAAATAAAGAGAATGAAAAAACATTCAATTCCAACTTTCACTTTGTGTGGAATAAACAGTTGACAGAAACACTTAGGGAATCTGATTCAAAGTGGCCATTTTTTGGGAAATCTCCAACTTTAACTTTCAAATAAGCACAATTTTTTGGCAATCTCGAACGTACTACTAATCGATTATTTTCCCTATCAGAACAACCTAGGAAAAGTTGTCAGCCTACATAACCAACTTCGCATACCAAGAAAGCCAGGTTACATAACCAAAAGTACGGTGGAGGTTGGTTGAGAGTGATGTTACGTGACGTTCATAACCAGTCTTGAAGTGAATAAACTAGACCGAAGTAAGGAAATGAGACGACTTTTTCTTGAACTATATGATAAACAAATCTTCCCCTCCACACCAATCACGAGTTTTTCTCTATTTCATTATCAATTCAATACTGAAATATTACCTCCTTAAATCGAATGATATTCGGGTGCCTCAAAGATCTGTGATTCATTATTTCCCTTTGAACATGCTCATCAATCTGCAGAGAAAAACCCAAATGAATTAAAAGAAGAAAAAAAATAATCAACAGAGTAACAAAAAATAATCTTTTCAATGAAAAAAAACTCTGTAACAGCCTAATATGAAGAGTTCAATATATCCAAATATGTACTTTTTCAGGGGCGGAGCTACAGTTTTGCCTACAAGTTCGGTAGAACTCAATAGCTAGGCCCAAAACACCATATTTCTGTTTAAAAATCCACTTTATATGTATAAATCATTTATCAAGAATCCAGTAAACTTTGTTTTCTATAATCCAAAATTCATAAACTCAAAACTCTAGCTCCGTACTTATTCAGAAAAACTGATCATGAGAAACTTGATCAGAACTTCAGGGGCGGAGCTACAACTTCACCTACTGGTTCTGCAGAACCCAATTATACTAGGCTCAAACGCCGTATTTATGATTAAAAATTCACTTAATACGTATAAATAACTTATCAAGAATCCAATAAGTTACATTTTTTACAATCCAAAACTCATAAACTCGAAATTCGAGCTCCACCTTAAGAAGAATTGGATGAAAGAGAGATAAAGATCAAACCTTTTTATCTCCAGGTTCGACAGAACTCAATAGCTTGATTTAAAAATCCACTTAACATGTATAAATCATTTATAAGAATCCAGAACTCATAAACTCAAAATCCTAGCTTCGTTTTTGAAAGAATTGGATGAAAAAGAGAGATAAAAATGAAACCTTTTTGCCTCTTTCAATATATTTGACAGCAAAAAGTTCACCACTCCATTTATCTTTCACAAGCTTAGCAACACCAAAATTCCCAGAACCAATGTCTTTCTGAATTTCATATCTTTCCATTTTTTATAAATATTTCAGCTTCAATTAATACCTCAAATAATAATCATACATAAAAAAATAAAAAAATTATTTTGTTTAGAAATAAATTTTGAAGAAGCTGTCTATATCTTGCTAACTGGAAAGAAAGAAACTTTTTTTCTTTGTGATTTTTGGTTTTTCCTCAATGACATGCTTCCTATATTTGTAAGGAGCATAAAATGGTGGGACCATGGCGGAGCCAAAGTTTTTAAATATTTATTTTTTAAAAAAAATACTAAATGTCATACTTGGAAATTTATAAGAAAACAATTTTGAACATTTTTTGTCATCAATGGACTAGAAGTATTTTTATTTTTTTAATGTGATGACATTTGACCGAACATAAAGTTAAAAAAAAAAAAAAAAATTATGAAACTTGTAATCGTGGTTATAAAATCATGTCATTAAAGATAAAATTGAAAATTTTAAAGTTAGATTATTTTGAACATATAAATGTTTGTTTTATGTAATAGACGATAAATATTATAATTTTTTAACGGAGGAGATTCGATTGAATCCTTGATATGTCATCGGGACCCAGCCTATTAGGGCACCACCAATCAAATGACTTGAAATTAAAAGGAAGGCAAAAACAAGTTGCACAACTCAAACGTGGTAGTATAATTTAGTTGTCAAATACGAGAATTATAGTCTATAGCTTCTTTGGGTGGGCTTCTCGGCGGGTATTCAGTATTTATATTAAAATTGATTGATTTAAATTAACGTTATATAAGTTTTACTAAGGGAAAAACATTTCATGACATTATTTCCTTTTTCAACTCCAAACTTGCATTCGAACTCGAGATTATTGATTAAGACAGGAGAGTTTTATTCATTCCACCACAATTTTTATCGGTGATAAAAGACAACAACTGTTTCCGATTCATGAACCGAATGTCTCACCTGGCTATTCTAGACGTGAGTCTCGAAACTACAACCATTCAACGGAATTCGAAATGACAAGGCTCTTGATACATAAATAGTCTCTACTTGCAATTTCCTTTGTCATATAGTATTTGTTAAGTGTGATCTACTCATTTGTCCTTACTGAAAGCTACTGAACAGAAAGAACTATTCAAAAAATACAATTAATTTTGTATATTTTTGTTACAAATTTTCAAATTTGGACAGAAAATTAATTTGAGAAAATTAGTGTAGAGTGCCTAAACATGGCTATTTTATGCAGACCCACATTAGAAATAAAAAAAAGACAATTATTTTCTATGTTTCAATTTATGTGACACAATTTAAATTTCGAAAGTCAAATCTGTTTAGTTTAATCATAAATTTGGACATAGAATCTTTAAAGTTTTAGAAATAAAATTTACACATCTAGAAACTACGTAAAAGCACTTTAAGTCATAGTAATATAGACAATTCAAAATTCAAAATATTTGAACGTCATATGAAGAAATTATGGTGAAAAAAAAAATTCGTTTAAATCTCAAAATCCGAAAAATATCACAGAGACGGAAGGAATTAGCTCTATTCAAAAGGAACAAAAAGATTAATTTTTAGGGGAATTCTTTTTTTTTACCAAAAAAAAAAAAAAAAACTTGAGAGGACCACTGAATTTTTGACAATGTATCATTACTTTTGGTAATGTAGAAAATGACGGAAGTCGGATTTAAAATTTCAAGAAGATATGTATATTATTATGAAGAACTGTAATAGTTATATTTAACGAGTTTAATTTTTAATGTCATATTATCAATTCATTACGATTTTGAACTTAGAAGTTCAAATTTTTTTATTGCAAAGTTAATGATTTTTTATGTATATTATTTATACTCTTTTTATTGAAAATGTTGGGATATATAAAGATTTTAGTTTTTTAACATAAACATTTATTTATAACTATATAAAACTTTACAATGCTTTTGGTATGCTTGCCACCTAAAGATACACGATAGGTGGAAATTTTATGCATACTCAATTTTTACAATAAACTATATTAATTTATAATAGTTCAATAATAAATTGAGATATGATTAGGTATATTCAATAACTGCCTTTGACTTTACGAAAAATTGTTGATTTAGTCTACTCCTTATGTGTATCAATTGATTTTTAAAAAAAATGAGAATTTGAACGGTCATCCAATTAAAGAAAACGTATATTGAACGACCATAAAATGAAACATGCTATATAGTCTTTATGCGTATGCAAACTCACGCAATTCAATAACAAATCAAAATAATAAAATTGATGTTAAATAACAAATTATTCCCTCCGTTCACTTTTACTTGTCACAGTTTGACTTGACACACTCATTAAGAAAATAATTAATGATATAGGTATTTTACCAAATTATCCCCTATTAAATGATGTCTTGAAAAATAAGTATTTTAATGATGAGGATAAAATATGGAGAAAAAAAATAGCGTCTTTTCTTGATATGTCAAAAGTGACAAGTAAAAATGAAAATTTATTTTAGAAATAAGTGACAAGTAACCGTGAATGGAGGGGTATTTTGAAATTAAGATTTTTTTTTGTTCAATATTTGTTAAAATTAATATTTGAGATTACTTAAATATGAATCTCTTTACTCATTTTCATGTGTTCACTCTATAAAAGTAATTTTTAATTTTTTTACCTATTCACTTTAGTATATCAAAAGAGAAATTAAAAAAAATACTTTCAACATAAATTATTCATCCTCCAAATTATCTATTTCGATTTAACTTTAAAAATAAGTCACCTTAATTTTTTATTTTAAAAAAAAAACTATGACCGCTAATTTGGAACGATCAATCAATGAAATAAATGAATAAAAAAGGTCACATCGTATTCGATTTCTCATATGAAGAATGTATATCATCAATTGATGTTCTTTGAATCAGCACACCGGCCGTCTTCGGTATGCACAAAAATATTTTCCAATTTTACCAAAAATAAATAAATAAAATAAATAATTATATATATATATATATATATATATATATATATATTATG